CAAAGAATTCAGCCCACCCCTAGCCCCACATTCCCCTGACACCACACAAAAGGCTGCTGATCCAGTCAGGGTCACTACAGTCAGGCTGCTGGGCTAACTCTGACAGTCAGCGCAAGCCTCTGTCTCTCTGTGCCTCCTTTTTCCTGGAGATAAGGAACTGACAATTACAGTGTCCCAAGAAGCTCGTGGACACTGTGTTCAGACTGGAAAGCAGCGGGATTCTATCTCAGACCAGAGAGGCGATTGGACTTCTTATCTGCCAGGGGATCTCCGGTTGCAGAGGAATCTTACACAAGAGCCCATTTATATGGTCTGGGAGGGGTTTCCTTTGGTCAAGTGAGGAGGGAGGTCCTTACCCAGGCATGCAAAAACTCCTCCAAGTTCACTTGAAACTAAGGATGGGTATTTCAGAAAAGGTCCAGGGGTTGGATGCCCTGACAAGCAGATGAGCATTTTCTCCACAGGTACCACCCACATAACTTTCTGACCGTTGTGACTAAACTCTGACCAAGTGGGATTCAGGCCCTGAAGTCAGACCCTGCCTCATTCATCTTCCCTCACCTCCCCAGCACCCCACATGGCCTAGTGGAATGAACAGAAGTCTCTGTGCCTACTTTCATGGATGGCCTCTTTTGAAGGTACCAATTGCATCTTCATCTAAAGCAGTTAATTTGTGAAAATGAGCAGTGGCTGAGGTCTGGTGCCATGGTGAGAATTGGGGAAAACTTGAGAAGCCAGAGAATGGTTAGCTCTCTGAAGGTAGCCTTGTGATAGTCCCCATGTAGCCTTACGTGTGCAACTGTCAATGGGGCAGAAAAGAGACCCGGCTCATACTGAAGAGCATTTCTATCCTTCCTTCCCAGGACCCAGCGCCCTCGGTAACTGAGCACTATTGTGCCTTGGGGCACCTTTACAGAGTGTGCCCAAGGGTCCCCCGTTTCCAGACTAGGGAATATTTCCCTCCTGTAACCTCAAGGCGGGGCTGAGCTCCCACCAGTTACTAGTGGACTCATCATAAAATCTCAAGACCACTGCTGATGCCCCTAGCATTTTATAGACCCGAGAGCTGAAACTTCTGAGATATGGTCACCGAGTAGCTTGACCAAGTGACCAAGGACCAGTGAAAGTCAAATAACTTTCTCAAGTCCACAACTCTCTTACAGGCAGACATGGCTTGTTTTACCCACAGGAAACTTCCTAGACCACTAAAGAGAGAGTGGGGGACAGAGTCACCTCCCCGATATTTAAAGAGTACCTCCTTTATGATGGAGAGTGAATCCACTGCCTGGTACCCTGCGACTCTAAACACGGAACCAAACACACAAGACTGACCATATAGAGGTCACCTTCTGGGGCATTCAATGAACTCAGGTCAAGCCATTACTAACCTTGTAATATAATCCATCTTACCTCCTACAGCTTAGGGTGTACTACAACTACATCTACTACTCCTCAGCTACTTTCAACATGAAGCCAAAGGTAGAATGGTCCAGTTAGAGAAAGACAGACTTATAGTTGGTTTTTCATTCTCTGAGGTAGATATTATGTTCAAAGGTCATTTGAAGAGGACTGTCAAAAATGCTGTTTAATAGCCACATGGTGAGTGACATCACCATGCTCATTGTTAGTCTGATGTGGGTTAGGCTTGTGAGAATCTCAGATGACAGAGGTGAGTCGTATTCTTTGAATCTTCCACCAAAAATCTTGACATCTTTCAAAATAACTGTGGAATAATGCTTGGGAGAACATTAACTACTTGTATACCTTACATTAAATCTTAACTTATCAGTAAGATTAATTGCATACAATAGTCTTGCTTGAGCATTGTATGCAGGGCACTGTACCCGCCATCTCTTCATACTCCCCATAGCCAGCTTGTTTTTATTTTTATTTTCTCAGAAGGGAAGCCAGGCTCAAGGTCACACAGTTGGGAACTGGGTCCTTGTCACTCATCAGCATATCTTGAAAATAAAAGGGGGGTATAGGTATGAGTATGTGTCTCTCTTTGTCTTCTCGTCTGTGGTGGTTAATATTGGTGATTAACTTGACAGGATCTAGACTAAGCTAGCAGATAGATCTCTTGGCATATCTGTGAGAGAGTTTTGAGACTGGTTCATTGGAGATGGGAAGACACACCCTAATGTGGATGGCGTCATCCTATGGCTTGGTCCTTGAACTGCAAAACGATAAGAACGAGATGAGCATCTGTATTCATCTCTACTTCCGGTGGGTACAATGCGACCAGATGCCTCAGGTGCCTGTCTCCTCGACCCCTGCCAGCATGGACTGTACCTCCAAACTGTGAGCTGAAATGGACTCTTCCTTGCTTCGGTTGCTGTCATTGGATATTTTACCACAGCAATGGAAAGTCTATAGACACACCTTCCCACCCTTCCCTGAACAGCTATGGTGAAGAGAAGATGCTCCCAGGAGTGCCCAAGCCTGCCCCCCATGCCACCTGACACTGTTGTGTCTGAGACACAACCTTGGCAGGACCCTTCTGCTCAGAGCATCTTGGCAGGTAACTGTTGCTCCATCTCAGTAGCAGCTGAGGAGCCAAAGTCCAGAGCTGGAGGCCACACATGACATGTTGACACTATCTTAATTTCCTTGTTAGTATCATTCCCTAGATTGTTACCATCCTACCGTACATGAAGTCATGAGGAACTAACTGTGAATAAGAAAAATGACATGTTAACTTGCCTTTAATTTGTTTTCCATAATAAATGACATATTTCCTTGAACACTTGAAGCCATTAACATTTCAATTTATTCATGCTTTTTCTTCCTGGCATCCTAATGGCAATATTACGTGATTATATCAGCTTTGATAGTGGCACCTTGCGTATCTTTTGTTAGACTGTTGACTGGAGGGGCAGCTCACTTTGCTTTGCCATTCTACCTACTTCTTGCACCTTAATTGTTAAACAGGGAAACAATGCCGGTGATGTAAGTGATCGGGAACTGGATAAAGACCAATCTAGCATGCCTCACAAGGCATTGTTCCAAACACTTTGCACGCATTGGCTTACTTAATCCACCCATGACACCCTGTGGTGGATTCTATTATCAACACACCCGCTTCTCCACTTGAGGACAGGGAGGGAACTCACTCAAAGTTGCTTTAGGCTCACTCATGCTGGGCTTGGGCCTTTCAATATGGCCCTGGTGTGGGGTGCCTTTGTGCCCAAGGTTTCTCTGTTCATGCTTTTTCTTCTCTTCTGTGACAGATTCTTATATACCAACAAGGAATCCTATCGTGCCGGATCTCTGTGTTAATAAGAATGTGACGCAGTGGTAACAGACATGCTGTGGCTTGAATACACCTGCCAGAGTCAACCTTAAAGTTTAATTGTCATGTCTGAGGGTCTAGGGGGAAGGCCAGCAGGCATGAGGGTACACAACTATAATCCCAGCACTCAGGAGGCGGAGGCAGGAGTATGATGAGTTTGAGACCAGTCTGGGCTACAAAGGGAGACCCTGTACCTTCTCCTAGAAAACAGGAGGGAAGACCAGGTAGGACATTTAAGAGAAGGCTGGATCTGGTCACAAGGGCTCTGTCCTTCTGAACAGATTAATGGATTTGTGGATCCATGGGTGGTCTCAAAGGTGGGTCTTTTACATAAGCCATTTTCTGTCTCTTGTCTACGCCCCTCTTATAATGGTTACTATCTGGTTTTGCATCACCATGACCACAGCTCCTGATTGAAACAAACTAAGTGAGGAAAGATTTATTTCAGTTCCTGGATTCAGAAGGTTCAGCCATCATGCCATGGAGGATGTGACAGACAAGAACAGCTCACAGTCTGTGGGTCAGGAAGCAGAGAGAAGGGAACCCTCAGACTCAGGTGCCTTCTTTTTATCTACTTGCAGCCCGTGGGACTGTACTGTCCCCTTCAGTTAATCCTCTCAGGAAAATACCCTCAAAGACACACTCAGAGATGTCCTAGTCACCTAGGTCAACTTGGCAGAGATCGACCTTCACACTGTGTCATGTCCTGGCCTTCATCCATCACAACCCTTCCATCTTGAACAGGCCAGCCTCCAGAGCCCTGAGTTGAAGAAACTCTTATTCTTCATAAGTAACCCAGTGTGTGTCATTCTCTAGTAACAGAAAGGTGACTAATAGACATGATCAAGTCCTTTTCCTTATTCCTCATTCTTGCTGAATATATTCAAAGTATAATTTTTGCCTGAAGACCCATGACCTTGAGGCATTGTTAGGTTGAAGATCATGAAAGGATAGGCAAGCATCTATTTGCTTAATGTATGTCAATTACTCCTGCACGGGTCTGACCATTTGAAGATTATGGGTGAAGTCACGAGGAGGCCACGGGCATTCCTGGAAATTAAAGTGCCTTCAGAATTGCTTGGCCTCAGCACTCACACTACACCTGTGTTTTCAAGTGGGCTGCCTTTCACAACCCGAGCCCTGGAATAGCGCTCGGTGCTTCTTTTCGGGTGCACTTTGCCTGGGCACAGGTCAGGAGGGGACTTCAGGCATCAAGCAGCAGAGGTGTGTGCACACTACCCTGAAAGGGATAGATCCAGATAATCCTGCCTGTGATTTTGGCTCTAGGAGTGTGAGTAAGAGTGTGGTAAGAGAAAGAGAGTCAAAGGGATATTTTAATGTCAGAAAACAGGCCTCTCCATCCAAGGAACTGCCCCCATGAATTCATTTACAAATGACTGCGTCTGTTCCAAATGAAAAGGAAACTCATATTTCTCAATGCCTGTTCATCATTAATATTATGCCAACTATTGCGTTGCTTTTGGCGGAGGACAAGTGAAGGGCATAAGATGGATTAATTTCCAGGAGCACAAACAAAAACTCTCAGTATTTTATATCACATAATTAAGTGCAGTTTCCAGAACCAGAACTTGGGACTTGCTAATCTGTTGCCCTGAGAAGATGTCTTTTGAGCTTGATGTTCAGAATCAAATTCTTTCTAAGCCCTGCACAGCACTGCTGATGAAGAATGCTTGCAGATCAGTCCTACCTGCAGAAGTCTGGGGGCACCATGCCATAAACATCGATCCTGTCACAGAGCTCCAGTGCGATTGTCATAGTGAACCAGCCAGTGCTCAGCCAAGTGTTGGAGATCTTCCTGGAAGGAACAACGGTGAAGTCTTCACTCTGGTAAAGCAGTCCTGGATCCATAACCATGCAGGATCCTTTCTGGAGTATGGCTGACTATAAAAAGATAGCCCCAAACCTAACACACACACACACACACACACACACACACACACACACACACACACACACACACACACGCGCACACGCACGCGCACGCGCACACATACACACACACACACACACACACACATGCACACATGCTTTACACACTTTCTCTCTCTCCATTGGACAAGCATCTGGAATTTTGCTAAACTGAAATCTCGTATAGTAGAATCATAACTGATGTTGATGCTTGAGGGATTTCTACATCATTAAAGATATGATCATTGTTTGAATGTTTAGGTGTGTGCTGTCATAACTCAGTTGTAAGATGACAATATCCATGTGGCTATTTGTTATTAGTTAGAATACTTGACTAGGAACTCTCCCTGCACTGCTAAATAAGCTAGATAATGAACAATATAAATACAAATGACCATAAGATCCTGCTATTTCTCTATCTGTTCATCCAGCCAATTATTTATCATCTATGTAAGTGTTTAACTAACATTGATCTATTTTCTATTACTATTTATCACCATCATTTATTACTATATGACATCAATCTATCTTTCATTCTGTCATCTGTCTATCATCTATCATTTATCTATCACTTGTTATCTATCATCTGTCTATTCACCCATCAGCCCATTTATCAAGCATGTATGTATGTATATGTCCACCCATCCACCCATCCATAAGAGGTTGTCCCCAAGCACAATAAGTGCACCAGCATCCTAACTGAATGTCTTTTCTTAGGAGGAGCACATGCATTTGGGAAAGGTAGAGGAAGAAAGCCAGGGGTACATTTACATCTCACAGAGCATCTACTTTAACTTTACCTAAGGGCACTCAAGGCCTTCTGAAAATGTCGGAGTCCCAAATCAACAAGCTTAAGGAAATAAATCTGTGCATTTTGCCCTTCATTAACATGTCTATTCAGACGTCTCTGTGGAGGCTGAACAACATGCCCAGCCTAAGGAGACCTGTGGAGACACAGCACCAAGGTCTAATTTGAGTCCTGAGAATGCCACACTGGTCTCCATGCTACACTGCTGTGGAGGTTAATTTCAGTTCTTTGGGGATTGCTGCCTTTCCTTTTGCAGTGCCCTGGCATGCCTCATTAGCCAGCTCCAAACACCTTATCCCCAAGGTCAGACTGTCTGACTTTGCCCAGCCACACAGCTGTATGTGAGGGGAATAGCAGATCTGCAGAAAGCGCTTTCCAGATGTGCTATACAGCTCCGCACGTTGAGAGGAAGACTGTTAAACAGCTTGTTTATGTCCCTTCATGAGGGATAGGAAAATACTTTTAAGGAGGTGTGTCTTGTAAAGTGCCTGACAGACATGGGTGGGTTACAGTTTCAATTTCCAGTTCTTAAGCCTTTACCATGTTTTCCCGCACTCTACTGCTTCCTGCCCAAGCTTGTTACAGCCCCTGCAGATGAGGATAATGGGAACTTTCCTGTCTCCTGGTTCTCTCTTGTGCAGCTGGATGACCTGAGGCAGTTGCTGCTGATCTCTGAGCCTTGGTGTCTTATCTACAAAGCAGGATGGGGTGCTCCATCCTCTGGCCATTTGAGAACTAAATTAGAAAGTGTCCGCAAAAGGGTCCAAGCGGGGTGTGCTGACATGCAGAGATCCCTCTCTTTTCTCCTGGCTGCTGGGGCGAGTGAACAAAGTAACTCAGCATTCCTTCAGTGCTGTTTAGTACCCACGAAGAAAGCCCTTCCAACCCTCTGCTGTGGGGTATCGAGGAGCTATATCAGAAGCTAGGGAAGCATTTATAAAGAACAGATGCTTCCAGCTTTTGTAGGCATGAATATATCCCTTCCCTCTCACCAGGGAGATATCTGCCTTCATAAGGCTGTGGGAAGGAGTGGAGCCAGAAGGAGAGGGAAGAGGGGGGAAAGCCTTGGCTTGAATGAGAGCCCATGTTCACATCAGTGCTGTGTCAATGTACTGGACAGTTAGTCCTTCCTGGACTAGTCTGAGGGATTACTAACCAGGAAATGTGGAGCCCAGGAAGAGAACAACCCTCACTCATCTCCCAGATCCCTGAGAGATCTGGAACAAAATGATCACTATCCTATCTCCTGCTGTTACGTCCCCAGGAAGCATCAACTGTGGATTTCCCAGGAGCAGAAGCCCAGGATGTTTTCCTGTGATTCTGGATGGATCACAAGCCACAGCCTCCAGTGCAGGAGGATATGGGGCCACCTGACATGGGGAGAAGTTAAAGTGGGGGGCTAGAGGAACTGAAGTGAGGCGTTCTTTTAAGTGCTGCGTAAAATTCCCCACGCTTCCTAAATAATAGCGTGGGATCATGTGCCGTAGAAACGCAAATGCTTTGTGCTGTCTTCCTGAAAGGATCTGAACTTTTTCCTCCAACAAAGGAATATCTACTGTTTTTACAGTTAATCAGCTGTAATGAAAGAATATGAAGAGCTGTCATGTGCTTATTAGTGGAAATTAGCAGATATTCTTTTATGTGATGAAGTAACGCACTGAGCGGATAATGCTATAGTGCACACTAAATTACAATTAAAGGCCTTTCTGCTCCACCAGGATCTCATTTATAATCTCAACGGAAATATTCTTCCTGCAGTTATTTCATTTATACTTCCTTTATGTAATTACTATAATATTGGTTCTGAATCATATTTTCCTAATGTGCCCTTATTCAATTATAAAGTTATTTTGAAGTGTAGTTACTTTCTAATATCAAAGAGCATGATTCGGCCATCTCTGTCATCTGTGTGCTTCTTAATTGCAGATTGTTCATGAGTCATTTTCATCTCCACTTTTAAGGGTAAAATTTCCTATAAATCAAAATCTACTGACAAAGTCTATTTCTTAAAAAATATTAGTCTGGACTGATGTCCCAGTGACTAGTTTGATTTGGTTAGAAACTAAACTCTTTATGTATCTTCAACATATGCTCCTGTTTTGTTGGGTTTCTTAGCTTACATAGAATGAATGGTTTCAGCCCAAATGTTCTGGGTTTCAGTTGAATGGAAATCTATTCTGGAAGGTTCTTTCTCTCTCTCAGCTTAAGAATGGGGACATATAAGAACACTGAGTCAATATAATGCTATCTTTTTAAAGACAGTCTCCTAAGGTAAGGGACAAAACTCCTTTGGAAAGGTTGGTATACTTTGGTGTGCTATAAGGTCATAGGTGAGATTCTCCAAGCAGGGTGTGTGCTAATTGACATATATCTGTATAAAGAGGCCCCAGAGCTCAGAGGCAAAGACTTCTCACAGCAGGGACTAACACAGATGTACTTACTGAGCAGATGTTCCTGAGCAGGCTTCAGGAAGGGTAGGATATGTTTCTTAGGGATCTCAAGTGGCCAAAGGATGGGATGATCCAGTCTCTAGGCTACCCACATCATGTGATCCCTTACTGAGACCAGTCATGTACAGTTATTTTCATGAATCCTTGGCCAGGGTTGTAGGAAAACTTACATTTAATGAATAATCATCAAACAAGAAAAGAGAGAATGTGTTTTCTATGGAAGAGACAGTTGAAACTTACTTTGAAATTTTGGAGCAGCAACATTTAATTGTAAACTTCATTGCTTGGCTTAGTCTTTATAAGACATGCTCTTGGAGCTGGGTGGTGGTGGTGCATGCCTTTAATCCCAGCACTCGGGAGGCAGAGCCAGGCGAATCTCTGTGAGTTCGAGGCCAGCCTGGGTTACCAAGTGAGTTCTAGGAAAGGCACAAAGCTACACAGAGAAACCGTGTCTCAAAAAACAAACAAACAAACAAACAAACAAAAAACCAAAACCAAACAAACAAAAAAACACGTTCTCTTGGTTAGAGAACTGCTGTGGGATGTTCTGTATGTCCTGTGGGTTCCTCGTGGCTTTACCTAGCAGATCCACATAGAGGATGATTAGGACCACGGGCCTGAGTGCAGGTGTCTGAGATGTTCTGCACTTGGCTGTGCTGGGGGATGGTCTGTATGTCAAATGCTCTGATTGGTCAATAAATAAAACACTGATTGGCCCATGGCTAGGCAGGAAGTATAGGCGGGACTAACAGAGAGGAGAAAAGAAAGAACAGGAAGGCAGAAGGAGTCACTGCCAGCCGCCACCCTGACAAGCAGCATGAAAAGATGCCAGTAAGCCATGAGCCGCATGGCAGGGTATAGATTTGTGGAAATGGATTAATTTAAGCTATAAGAACAGTTAGCCTGCCATGGCCATACAGTTTGTAAGCAATATAAGTCTCTGTGTTTACATGGTTGGTTCTGAGTGACTGTGGGACTGGCGGGTGACAAAGATCTATTCTGACTGTGGGCAAGGCAGGAAAACTCTAGCTACAGAGAACTGTTTAACATGTAAGGCTGCCTCTCTTGTTGCTGGGCCACAGGGCTGACCACAGTGTGGGTTTTATCAGCTCCTAACTTTGATCAGGAGTATCAGTGTGATCCATGGCTGGGTTAGAAATGGACTAGGTTAGCTACAGGCTTAGACTTTGCTAGCCAAGGGTCTAATGGACAAGTCACAGGTGTGTTCAGCTAACTGAAGCTCTCCTGATCAAGCTGTAGACCTGTTAAGCCAGCCATGGGTCTGGACTGTGGTAACCACAGGTCTCTTGTGTCTTGCCAGGAAAGAGGCTGTAGTGTGGACAGCGGTAATGCTCTCCTCTGCTCCCTACCATCAGGCCCAGTCCTCAAACTGCCGTAACACTCCTAAGGTTTAAGAACACAGCTCTTTTGTCCAAAGAATTTGGGGATAATGGGCTTTGTTTTCCAATCATATGTTCCTAAGCTAGCCAAATAGTGGATTCTGTACTTTCTGGTCTTTATTTGACTTAACAAATCTCTTTAAATTTAAGATAAGACACTGACCAAATTTTTTTATAAATCAGTTTTTATAAGAAGGGTATTAGGCCACTAAATGTACATCAACTAAAATAGTATATGTTTCAGAACTGGAAAAACCCCACAGAAATTAATTATTAGTTCAGTCTGATGACTGGTGGTCACTGCCCTTATTTTCACAGGGAAGTGAGGTCATCGAGTCTCTAGAAGGTAGACAGCTGAAGTTCCACCCAGAGATGTGTGTCCAGCCACCCTTTGAGGCTCCCCTGAGCAACTCAGTGTCCTGTGTTACATCCTCTCCGGACCTGTGCAGCTCATGACCCTTTTCCCCTTTGACCTTATCTTGTGCCATTTGCCCTGACATCCTGGATACATCCATGTGGGTACCTTTTCTGCAATTCCCCTGCATGTTCTTTCCCTGGTCCCTTGGTCTCTTGCGGGAGTTCTCTCCCCACCCAGCTCTTTCCATACTTGTAGAAACAGTCTTTGGCTTCAGCTTGAAGCATCTTTTTGAGATAGCCTTTTGATTACCTATCCCACTGATTTTTTAAAAAATCTGCAACTTATAGTGAGAAATACATTTGATACCAGGACTCTAAGTACATTGAGATGTGGGTATATATGTGATTGGTTTTCATTTCACTTTTAAAGTGTGTGATTTAATTGATTTTAGTGTATTCACAGACATAATGATCACCACTAAGTTTAGAACATTTTCATATCTAAAAAAACTACCTATCATCTATCTGACACATGCATAATCATTATCATCATGTGCCATCTGAAATAGGTTTTGAATTGACACCCACATGGCAGATCACAACCATCTACAGTGGGGTGTGATGCCCTCTTCTGGCATGTAGACATACATGCAGAGAGAGAATTCATACATAAATATATATATATACATATATATATATATACACACACAAAATGTGCATGTATGTTTTGCTTACATGTATGTGCATATAACATGTGTGTGCCTGGTGCCCAAAGAGGCAGAAAAGAGCATTAGAGTCCCTTGGACTGGAGTCACAGGTGGTTTTAAGTCATCATGTGAGTGTCAGGGAACTGAACCCAGGTCCTCTGCAAGAGCAGCCAGTGCTCTTAACCACTGAACCATCTCTCCAGCCACTATTATCTAGTCTTAATGAGCACTTTGGAAAACATTGCCCTGGACCATGGTTTGTCTCCTGCCATACAAGTTACAGCCCCATTTTCTTCCTGTCACTACTTGGTGACTGTCTATGGCGATGAGTTCAGAGGGCGCCATCCTGTTTTTTACTATGTTCAGAGGCAGATGAAAGACGCAGTGTTGAGCAAGCAGTAGGTGCAGTTGACTGCATGGCTGTGTGTCTTTGAAAGGGAAACAATCTCCTCTCTCTCTCTCTCTCTCTCTCTCTCTCTCTCTCTCTCTCTCTCTCTCTCTGCATGCATGTGTGCATGCATGTGGGTGCATGTGAACGTTTGTGAATTCCAGAGGTCAACCTATCATTCTTCAGGGCTGTCCACTTTGTCTTATGAGACAGTACCTCTCCCTGGCCTGGAATTCGTCAAGTAGGCTAGGGTTGCTAACAGCAAGCCCTAGTCATTCACCTGCCTCCCAGCGCTGGGATTCTGAGCATGTACCACCGTGCCCCCCACCCGTTTTCATGATTACTGGGAATCAAACTCAGGCCCTCGTTCTAGTGCAGTAAGCACTTTGTAAAGCGAGCCATCTCTCCACACTTCTCTCCTCCATAAATGAAGCTACAGTGTCCCACGTTTTCCTAATGTAGGCCAGTCACCATTTAGCCTTTTTTTTTTTTTTCTAAAGTAAGGACTTAGTCATGAATTACTCAGTAATGGTCACTGTGTGTCATGTCACTTTGCCTGATACACTCAAAAATCCATTACCAGGGTGACCCAACATGTGAACCCCATTGATGTTGATGACATGGACCGTGGGGCTCACAATACAGACCCTCAGCCAAAGCTTTGCTTTTAGCAACTCTGCCCCCATCACACATCCCCACTGCCCTATGCCCCGTACCTGTCTTTGCCAGTCTCCTGCTTGAAGAGCTCATCAAACTGCAGCATCTTGTGGCGTGTGATCATGAAGGCCTTCAGCCGGGGCAGCACCTGGCTGAGAAGCTGCAGGTTGTTGTACACCTGGCCCTTGCCATCTCGCCGCATGTAGCTGCTGGGGCCCCAGAAGATGAACACAGTGCCCTGGCTCACGTTGAGCAGGTCATGGCGGTTGCGGAGGATCCTCTGGATGCTGGAATGTGCGATGACCCGCAGGCTCGTGCGGTTGCCCACATCAAGCCCATAGCCTCGGGTGGGTGCGTCATTCATGCGGATAACACACTCTGTCTGATCGATCTGGGCACCCTGCTGACTATGCAGCAGATGCCCTGAGCTGGTCACCAGGGCGCAGTCCTTGCAATGCATTTTCAGGGGCTGTAAGGCAGAAGGAGGAGAACGATGGTGTCAGGCAGAGGAACTGCCCTCCTTGGCACTACCAAGTTACATCCCTGTCTTTAGACAAGAGTGTCTCCTCCCTTCTTTTATCCATCCCCCATCCCCCTACCCTGGCCACATGCCCGATTATATCTGGTCCTTTGCAGCTGCATGAATCTTTGCACTTCCTTCTAAACTGCAGAGGCTGTTAGGCCAGGCAGAAAGCTGGTGTTGATCTGTCTGTCACTGGCTCAGGGCTTAGATCCCTGTGTGAGCATGTGACCCATCAAGGTCACTGTTGCCAGGCTTAGTTAGCTTAGAGATGGGAAGAAGTCAGACTTTCAGAACTAGGTTTTTCTGAATCCAAAGTTGGCTCCGCGTCAAAGCAAAGTGTCTTCTGCAAATTGCTGTGGCTCGGGCTTGGCGCTCACTCCCCTTGCTGAAAAGCCAAGCATTTACCCAGGCTCTTGGATGCTCTGGGAGTGCGTTGCCCCTCAGTAAAATACCATTCACGAGTCACAGGAGCAATGACATGCAGTCAATGCTGTGATTGTGAAATGAAGAACTGAGTGTTCTCTCCTAAGATTTGGGGAAGGGCAGAAGTTGCAGTACCCCATTTTCATCAATGTAAATAAAGCCCCAGGCTCAAAACCTCAGACCCCATTCTGGAAGTGCAGAGTTCCGGTTCTTTTCTGAAAACACACCCCATGACAGCCTGCACAGAAAGCCAACCAGGTACACATAAGAGCTAACAAATTAAACATCTCCTGTTCATGTTTAATAGGAAATATCTCCTCCCTGTTCTAAGAAGATAATGAAATTAGAGCCTGAGCCCAAAGCCAGGAAGTTCAAAAGAAAATGATGATCAGAATGTTTGTTTGGGGACAGGGTTTCACTTAGCCCAGGATGACTTCAATCAATTCACTATGTAGCCAAGAACAACTTTGAACTTTTGGTCCTCCTGCCTCCACCTCCCAGCTGGTGGGGTTATAGGCACATACCACCACACACACAATCATGTGGTGCCGGAGAGCCCAGGCCTCCATGCATTCTCAGAAGGCACTCTGACTGAGCCTGATGCCTAGCTCAGTCAAAACGGGGAAGGAAAGTTGCCTCACTGATTTCTCCCAGAGCTCTGCCCTTCTCTGTCCACTGTGAACTGGGCAGCTGGCTCCCTGGTCTTAGGAAATGGGATCCATCTCGGCACTGAAAATACTCAGCCTTGTGTTTCCTGTGAGAGTTTCCTGAACCATGGGAGTATGCCATAGTCTTACTTAGTACTCCCCAAGACCTTCTCTCATGGCAAGGTGGGTCCAGCTTCGTTTGCAACATCTGTTACTATGGGGAGTTGCTAAGTCGCTAATATCCAGAAGCTTCTGTTCCTTCAACTCTAGCGGAGAAAAATGGCCCTTTCTGCCTTGGTAGAAGGGGAAAATCCTAAGTTAATGGTAGTTTTGATTAAGTCATAAAAATCAGCACTATCTGACCTGTGAAAATGGTTGTTGCAAAGCCCAGCTGAAGCAGGGGACTCATCACAAGAGTTAGTCAATGAACGACAGGTGTTCTTGAGTCTATCACTTAAGTGGTGGTGCGCACCTGTAATCCCAGCACTGTGGAGGTAGAGGCAGGTGAATCTCTGCGATTTTGAGGCCAGCAAGTCTACATAGCCAGTTCCAGCTGAGCTAGGGCTACACAGTGATACTGTGTCTCCAAAGCAATTATCATTTAATATGGAGCATATTGTAAGTACTCAGGAAATCAGGACTGAGCACTTTGAGCTAATGGCTGACACATGGGCTTGGGGAATCAGAGACTTAAGCACTGTAACTTATCACCAGGCATGCAATATTTGGTTGCTCTTAGGTGACAGTAAGTGGGTGTGATGGCTGTCCTTGTCAACTCGACCCATCTGGGAAGAAGGAACTCAAGTGAGGGAATTCCTCCATCAGATCGGCTGTAGGGCATGCCTGAGGGGCATTTTCTTGCTTGTGCGTTAGTGGGAGCCACCCCACCGTGGAAGGTGCCACTCCTGGGCAGGTGGTGCTGGGTCATCTAAGGAAGCTGACTGAGCAGAAGTCAGTAATCATCATTCTCCTGTGGTCTTTGTTTCGGTTCCTGTGTTTATGTTTTGGCCTTCAGGTCCTGCCCTGGCTTCTCTCGATGATGGAGTGTGGCCTGTAAGTCAAGTAAACCCTTGCAAGTTGGTTTTAAGCTGTTGTGGTTTGAGATGACTTACTTTCCCTTCTCTTTCCTTCCTTCCCATATATTCCTTCCTGCCTTCTTTCAAATTCATGGCCTCCTTTTCATGGATCGTTACATACGAGTGAGTGAGTGAGTGAGTGAGTGTGTGTGTGTTCCTAAATAAATACAACCGAGTCCATATAATGTTACTTATATTTATATATCTGTATGTGTTTTAACATAGCAAAGTGAAGCAAACTGGAGCAGGGAGTTAGGCAGCCAGATGCAAAAAAAGAGGGAAACAGAGCTCCCGCCTCCCAGGCTTGAACTTGGTGAGGGACTGTGGCTGAAGGAACACATCGAGGTATGATGGTATTTATGGAGGAGCTCTGGCCTGGAATCTGACTGATGGAGATTAGTTAGGACGCTGCAAGGCCAGGAGTATAAAAAAGAGTGGTCGAGTAGCTAATGTTTATTTGAGTGCTCTGCATGGGGCAGGGACTTCTCTAAGCTTATGATGTAATCATATTTGTCTTTCAAATATCACTGCAAGGTATTACTGCTACTACTTTATGAATTAGAAATGTGAAGGATTAGAAAAAGTAATTTGCTCAAGATCATGCAGTTAAGAAAGGGAGAGGTGGGCTAGGAAGGCAGGGATCCGGCTCCAGAGCTGATGGCAGTAAGTACCCAGAGTGCTAAGAATATCAGCTGCATTCACTGCCGCCACCCAAGCCCAGGAAGGTACTTCTTAGTTGTGAGTGTTCCAACTCTTAGGACTCTGATCTGGGCAGATGCAATAAAATAACAAGTTTTCCAGCCAGTGTTCCAATTTCTGTGGGGATCATTTGGAGTAGAACTCACTCGGGACCTGGAGTGCGCCAGGGTGACCTATGGTCAAGACCTGAACTTCCTGAGGAAGGGCGTCATTCCTGTTCACCTCACCAGGTTTTGGGAATCTAGCGGAAGGAGACCGCTGACTCCTCTGTGTAAACTCTGGGGAGAATGCTCCACATTTTACTGTAACATTCTGTATGTAAGTTATTCAGAGCTCAGCATTCGATGCCATTAGTTACGTTATTTGTCACTGAGATGTGGCAGTAGAGTGAGGCAGGAGCTCGCTTTCTCTCATCTGGGCCAATCAGGAAGCAGAGAGGGAACATGAATAGGACAGGGCTATAGACCTCCAGAGCTCTGTATCTTCAGCTAGATCCCACCCCCAAGATTCCCACAGGCTTCTGAAACCACCAGCAGCAGAGGACTAAGTGTCCAAACAGGCGTCTCAAGGCTCCTACAACTCGGCAGTAATACAGAGTCCTTTTGTGTTTCAGACACTGAACTTGGTGCTATAGACAAAGCAAGATGATATTCCCTCAAGAAGCTTGCAGTCCAGGGAGAGGACGCTCTCAGAAAGGATCCACAGTAAATGTTGAACTAAGCTGGCACAAGGACCTCTGGGACCCAAGATAAGGGGCAGTTGCGCTTGAAAGAAAAGCCAGAGAGGCAGGGAGACAATCAGCAAGGGAGCAGTCGGGGAAACCGACAGAGAGAGCGAGTCACCGAGTCACCGATGTGGAAAGTGTTCTTTGATGTTGGTGACTAGGACCAGTGCCCCCCCCCCCGCCACCCCTCCCCCCCCCCCCTCCCCACCCCCGCAGCACGCGTGGACACGCGGAGGCCCAATAAACTTTAATTCAGGGGCCTAACGGAGGGCTGACACTGGAGAACAAGACTCACGGAATGGACCTTAACACTTTCTTCAGTGACTGACCCAGCATCAGGTTGTCTGGGTGTTAGAGTTGAAAATCCTGCATCCTGGGAAATCAGGAATCCTGGGTCACAGTTTCACCACTCATAGGGAGGTGAAATGTCCTGTGGCAGTGAGGAGCTTCTGCAGATAGCTGGCTATTGGGGGGAGTGTGTCAGGAGACAGAGTCTATGGCTGATTTCAGAATCTCCTACATTTAAAACAAAACAAAAGGGATGAGCTAGATAGTTGTAGCCCAATGATGCTGATTCCTTCACTCGTTTGTTCATCCTGACATTCATCTGAAGACCTTTAATGACTACTTCACATGCCCTGAGGTACCATGTAACTCAGAACATTTTCTTCATTAGCTTTCTTATTGTTTTTTTAAACTTTTTATGTTTTTATTAGCATGTATTAATCATACATAATAGTAGTTTTCATTATGAAATTTTCATACTTGTATATAATGTATTTTTAATAATATCAATCCTAAATTAGCTTCTTTTGTTCCCTTTCCACTGATTCTTTACTCTTCCTAACCTTTCTCTCTCTCTCTCTCTCTCTCTCTCTCTCTGTGTGTGTGTGTGTGTGTGTGTGTGTGTG